GTAAATTCAATGCCTAAAGAACAGGTCCTCTGTTGAATGCTGGGCTGCTGTGAGACAGAAAGATCAACCCAAAGGAGAGTCAAATTGCAGCTCAGTGTTACTTCTTGGCTGAGATCCTCTACTAATCTTGGGTGTCATTGTCCCTAGCCAGAGCAAGAAAAATAAAGAAATTCACAAGAACAGGGTTCAGCTTACCTTTCTACATGGTGGACAGGTTATTCTGAATTTGCCATCCTATATTCTCTTTCTAGTCAGGGGAAAGAAATCCAATTGATGTGTCACCTGATCCATTTTAAGCATCTCTGTTAGAATGAGAGGAGCTGCACTCTGAAGGTGTCTGTTTTGTTTTTTTTTCCTATTGACTACTCATTGAGTATACAGTGATTAGCTCAGACTTAGATGCATGACTTTTAAGCTGCAAACTGGGACAGATGATTCCCAGGCTAATTTTCCTTATTTTCATATTTTTAAAAGATTTCTCAGTATCCTATTCCTAATCAGAACAGGGTGAGTCAAGAGTGCACAGCCTTGTTGCTTCATCCTTCCCCTAAAATAACCTTTCAGCTGTGCCCAATTTTGTCCCCAGTCTGCATTGCGCTACTATACCACATCATTCCTGAGCAGATTCCCCACGGGACACTTGCTTTTTGTGTGGAGGGATCAGACAGATGCAGGAGGAAGTGCCTGTTGTAGGGTGGTGTGGGAGTGAGGCCTGTCCTGGATCTCACATGGGGTCCTTCTCTTTTCAGAGCTGACATTTTTCCCTGTGACAAGACATGAACAGCAACTGGTGTCACTGCTGTGTCACACTGGGTTGTGTTCATCAGGAAATACCCTGACATCAGTCTTGACTGGTAAATCTGTTCAGTAAGATGCAGCAGCTGTTTCTGCACCAACAGAGCACCAATATTATCCATTTTCATTGTAAGACAAAAGAAAACTCATTTGATTTAGGTCAGACAGATTAATTGTGGTGTTACCAGCTGGCTTCCCTCCAGCACCGGTGTATGTATCTTTGTGTCACTTCTCAGCACCAGAAACGCACTGTTCTCCCCAAATTACAGATGGGATTCTGAAGCAGAATTCATCTTCTCCCAGGCATCAAAGGGAGGGGTTAGAAGTTACATGGGAACCAGAGCATAGGAACTTTATCAGCCTAGAAATGGTGAGAGCCCTTTCTCTGGGGTGGTGCACTGAGTTGTTCCCAGAACCACAGGCAAAGCCTGGCCCCACCTGCATGCTCCTCCCATAGACATGAGAGACTCATTTGAGCTCTACATGGTTCTTAGTTGGTAGCTTATGGCACAGATTAGTGAAGGGAAGGAAAACTGGATTCTAAGATGTAACCTATAAGGAAGTAAATCCAATGTTTCTATTTTTGGAAGAGAGAGTTAAACTCATCTGCCAAGTAAATAAGGTCCTGCCACCTCTAAAAAGCCTCATTATCCAGTCTAGAGCTGTCTGCCATTAGTGTGACACCTCTGTGTAAAATGATAAAACTGTGGCAATTAGCTATCATTTTAATCCCTGCACATTATATCTGCTTCCAACTAGAGTTAGTTTATGTTTGAGACCAGTCTAGCAAAAACAGCAGAAGCTTAATAGCACAGAGGTTCGCTTGCTTATTTATTAATTTATTTATTTTTTTGCTACTGTGTCTGCATTACATTTGTAAAATCGCCTGCTCAGCATCCTCCTCTACTGGAAATGTATTAAGGCTAAATTATGCACTTCATCTTTACCAGCAGAGATAGCATATCATAGGAATCAGGGAAACTGTCAGCTGTACCACCTAGTCAGTTTAAATACAGAGAACCCATTAAACAAAGTATTTAAGCAATAAAATACCTTGCTTATTATTAATGATATCCTGAACAGGAGGAAGCCTATCACCCCAGTTCTCTGCAGCCTGTGGTTATGTTGCATAATTACATAATAATCAGCCACACAGTCAATTCCTGTCCAATAAACATTTTAATTTTATTCCATCATAGAAGCACGCACTGCTGCTAAACTGATTAATTAAAAACAAATATCATTACACGATACCATCTTTAATCATGAGACTCTAAAAGAAAAAAAACAAGAAAGGGATTTTTTTCGAAATAAGAAATGTGTGCTTACCAGCATTTGAGATTTTAAATTTATATTTTCCAGAAACACTATGGGTAAATACTTAAAATTCCTTATTTACCTCAAAATCATGACTCATCTGAAATTAATGGAATTACATGAGTAACCATGTAAAGGCAGCACACTCTCAAGTGTCAAGTTAGGATATCAAATTTCCCAGTCTATCAATTAAAGACACTTACACACTACAATCTGTATATCTGGAATCCCAAGTAAAAGAAGTCACTGAAAGAAGTTTGGCCAGACTCAAACCTTCACCTCTGATCCTGTCTTCCTCTGATGTTTAGCTCCATTCCATCACTGACCACAGCTGTCAGCAATACAGTTTCCCATTTTTTTTTTCAGATTCCTTCAGTGTCATGTATGATGCACAGAGACTTAAAAGGAGGCCTACTTTATCTTGAAATAGTTGGTAGCATTACAAAAGATCACCCTGTTGTGAAATCAGGGGAAAACCAGACATCACTACACTCCCATATCTACTTTAAATAAACCTGATTCTGTCTTCTAGGCCTAAAATAATACTGCATACTATAAAGGATTTTAATGATTAGTTAATCCTAAATGTGCAGAAATATTCATATCGAAGGTCTTACATAAAGCCATCTAACTGTTCATTGCTGCAAATGTCAAAAAACCGCATTTCACAGGACAACAAAACAGTAAGAAAAGCCCACACTAGATAAATCCAGGAATTTCAAAACACTCATTCACCTAATGCCACCAAATCAAACAAAAAAATTCCTACATGTTTTGGGAAAGCTAAAAGTGTAAAAGTTTTATTTAGATCCAAAGAGATCTACGTTTTGAAACCAAAACCTCTCTTTTTTGCTGTTGCAAAGAAATTGGAGCCATCAAATTTAGTTAACTTGTTCATCCTTATTTTCAGAAAACCAGGAAGAAAATTAAATGTCAAGTAGTTCAAAGAGTATGAGTACTGAATTATAACCATTTTGCACAACAAAGATTACAACTGGACATACAATCAGAATGGTTAAACAGCACATTTTAGCAATTAATTATCATACTACTGCATTTCAAATCCCAAATTAAATTGTTCTTGGCAAGGTGAAACAGGGACTAAATAGGTTATAGTCTGCTCTTCTCCCACGTCATTCCTGTACCAATAAATGCCTCTTTTAAGGCTTCAAAAAAAAGTCTCTTTTCAAGTCCTCAATGAGGAATATCCTTGAAGGAAGTATCAAGTCTTCTGTTGTGAAAAAATGTTCTATTTGTGCAGTTTTTCCAGTTATTCTGAGGTGCTACATGGACCAGACTTGAGTGCACTAACATTTGATTAAGAGACAGCAGTAGGAAAAGCTTGCTGCATGAATCCAAGAACTGGAACTTCTTTACTACTGCAGATGTCCCTTTGTCTTTTATGCCAATAGAGCCATTATGGTGATTTTTCTCCTCTGCTTCACCACAATGACAAATGCCAGCACAATGAACATTTGGAAATTTTTCATGTGAAAAACACAAACAGAAGTGTGCTAACCTAACCAGCTGTGCTATATGAGGAAAAAACAACCAGGCAGACTATCCTGCTAATGAAAGAAGGATACCTCGTGCATCATGGTAACATCTGTAATGAATTTCATACTATGTAAGAGAAAAAAAAGGGATTTCCATACTGAATATGTTGTACCATACTGCAGGTCTTTGCTCTCTGCATTTTAGAATGACACCATTGGTTTGTCTTTCACTGTGAGTTTAATTACAGTGTCACTCTAATGCTGCCAGTAATAAGGAACTATTAGTACTGCTTTTAAAAAGGGAAAAAAACTTTATTGCAAAGAGTTAGGAATGCTCTTAAAATAATAAAGGGCAGTCAAGCAACCACATTTGCTCTGCCAGGAGCTTTTAAGATGTAACCTAGATGATTGAAGCTTCATTACCAAAACATTTTTCCTGTTGCCACTTGAAAAAATTTTGCCAAATTTAATTACTAAAATGTAGGTAATAAAACTGCAACAATAATTGCATGTTTAAGAATGAAGAGACAAAGTAGTTCTGCTTCTACTGAAGAGATGACTTTTAGGACTGGCACTATTTTGGGCCCTAAAAGTACAAGGATCAATGCCACTGAAGAAGACAGAGATTTTTATGACCCCAAGACTGTGGATACAAAGGCTTGCTCTGAGAATTCAAATTTCAAAGAGCAACATACCAGGATATGTGTTTCTCTATAGAACATATATCGTTTCACAAGGAACAACATTCCACAAGATAGGCTCTGAAGATTCCTTAATAAAAAGTGCTCAATTTTTCTGTTATTTCTATCCATTACTAGTGCTTAAAGCAGCTGGAAATGGTGATGTGCTTCTAAACCATGCAGACAGAAAGTGTTAATCAACATGGGATCTGTGCCAAACCAGCTTTTAAAAATGTTATACTTAGACAATGCTTCAGGTTACATCAGTCTGCCTTCTTCTTGGATTGAGTGGTCAAAAATGCTAGAGGTTTGTTTGTTTTCCATGGCTGCATAGTTCAAAGATCTACACAGTGTATAATACATTAAATATTTTCCAAATTTTCCAACTCTCTCACACTCAGAATCACTGATGTGAAGCAGAATGGAAAGGGTCGGAGATCATCAGTACAAAGATGGCAACTAGAAGAGCAATTCCATTAGGCAGAGGAACACTTACACTAAGGCATCCAAGAAGACATTCCAATCTGGATCTGGCATTGCAATAAGACACAAATACTTTCATTTTCAATTTAGAAACTTTCAGTCAAATTAAATTTTTTAAAAAGTGACTGGAAGTTCTTGGCATTAATATTAAATCAGTGTTTTAGCTGTGGAAGCTGGCTCACTCCTACAGTCTTTTTAATTTATCGTTTTTGAGGATTAACCATCTTCGGGTTTCCTGGAACACTGTGTCTTCCTCTGAAATAAAATGGATGAAGTTAGTCAGCAAATGTCACATTGTCTGTACATTTTGATGGCTAAAAATGTGCATGCTTTCTATATTTGCATATCTGATTACTACTGTGAATTAATAAACCTGAGAAAGGAAAAAAACAAGTATATTTCTAGGTTCGCAGGTTAGCAGAGCATCTAATTATTCTACAAACTCAGTTTTCATCTGATGATTCCTGTTATCTAAGTGATGTCATTTGAAGAACATGAACAGAATACTAAGTATGGGCTCTAGGAGAGTGATAACTGGCTACAGAAACATTTTTATCAGTTAAAGAATTCCCACAAGAAAAGGGGAAAACACTTCATGTAGATGTAGTTACAGGTATTCCACTCTGGAAAGCCAGGCTCTTGAACCCCATGATCACTAGAAATGCCTGCAGGAGATGCTGCCAGCAGACTTTTGAAGTGGTACTCATCATGGATACATACACCATCTATATGAAACCAGCTATAGCTTTATCTTGATCTTCTACGAAATCTGTGGGAATGCAAAGAAATCTCCAGAGGAAAAATGGTGCTTCCACAAGCTGGGAGGGTCATTCTCCTGACCAAGCCTGCCTTTCTGCTCCTATGCAATGTCCCTTTGTTTCTCTTCCTGTTCATTACTGCAGAGGAAAGACAGCACTTTACATACTCTAACAATATACAGAGCTTCAGTGTCTTTCTCAAGCAAAGGCATTTTGAAGGAAAATATATCACAGCATGACATTGTTGTATTTGTCATGATACCCAGACATGTGACAGAAGCTATGATGATGGTATCTGTGCAAGTTGCAAATTTGTGGGGAAAGAGGCAACAAAGTCAACCTAGGGCTCACTAGTCTTCTTGGGATTGACACATCCTTTGTTCCAGCTCTTACAAGCAGTCTTGGTCTTGAAGTGAGAACTGTGCCCATGCAGATATGGAGGTACTTCTACTCAGAGTTGGAAGCTCACAATCCAAGGCCCCAGTGTGCTCGATAATCAATTATTCAAATTCAAATCAGTTGATTACTCATAATCAATTGATTAAACTGTAGATACAGGTGAACAAATTAGAAAATGCCCGTGTGGAATTCTGCGGGCAGCAAAACCTCTTCCACTCAAAATCAGTTAGTCTTACAGACTTAGAAGCCAGGTAGCTGCAGCAGTGCAGTGTTGAAACTGAGCTAATTAGCCCCATTATAAGTCTCAGTGTAACAGCGGGGTCAGAATGACAATAAATTGGCTGCTCAAATTGCATCAGAGATATGGGCCATCAAGACATCCATGTTGTTCCCAACTGTCAGCTAGCCTATCTTCTTGTCCTGTAATAACCACAGAAAGAACCTCTGCTGAACTTGCTTGTGTTTTGGATGGCCAGGAAACTGAATGCATCAACAATTAGTTGTTGGAACTCTGGTTACTGAGAATTATAGACTTTCTGTGCTGACAGACACTGATCTCTATACCAACTCGCACATTTAATACCAACCTTAGCAAAAAAAGAGCAAAGAATCCACATTAGTCTTCACAACTACTACCCAAAATTGTTTTCAGTGTTCATTTAATACACAGGTTGGGTTTCTGTACCTGTTCCTGTAGTTAAAACAAGCATAAAATAACTACTTAGTATAATTTGAATTCTAATGTCGGTATTTTGTAAAAGGGCAACAAAGGTGAGGTAAGAACTCTAGACAGAAAGTTTTCAAATTACTCTCAAGAACATCCATGTCTTCTTTTATTTTAATTAAATTATTTCTCATTAATATCAGCTTGAACAAACAAACCCCAGACTATAAATCAAAACATAATTAAAAAGGAATACTATAACAATGGCTGTAATTACCTTGTGATGTTCATGAGGTACATACTTATATTTTAGTATTTTCTTAAAACACAAACTATGCCAAATCCCCACTCTTACATCCATGTTGCCAGCAAAGATTGAAGTTTGTCCTTAAAGTTCTGTGTAATTTGGTATAAAAGTCAATCATCTGAGAACTAGGTCCTTATATACTAAGGATAATTTAAAGGATGAAAAATGATCTTCATGTTTAAAGAACATTGAAAAGTAAAAAAAAGTTCTCTTAGGGAAAATGGATTGAAAGGGGATATTTTGTTATACCCACACATCTTCAGCAGTTACAGGACACTTTATTTTCTTTTGTTTGATATAAAGAAAATTACAAAAACATACTGTCAGGGTAAGTAATGGTCTACTAAAATATATTGTAAAAATAATAATATCTGATAATCACAGATCAGTGCTAACCCTCAGCAAACCTCCATGTCTGGCTAATGATATTTAATCTCACTGCAGAGGCAGTGAATTCTCCTGGTTCTAGTTTTCTGACCTTCTCCTTAGGAACCACGCTAAATATCACTGGGGTCAAAAGTGATGCAGTGGCATATGGGGCACTTCAAACCCACACAGTTCTTTTTATGTATTGAGAAACTTCAGTTATAGAACTGAATTCATATTGTACTGCATTAATTCATATTCTACTAATATTCTCTCTTGGAACATCAAGATTCACTATTCCAATTTATGAAATCCTGTGATTCTGTGCTTACACTGAACAAAAGGAAAAGGCTGGTAAGCAAATAGGTCTACATAATATCATGTTTATAATATACTCATTACATTTTTAGATTATTCCAATATATATTGTATATGCTCATTTTAATAATATTGGTAAGTGGGTTTGTGGAAGAGTATTTAATGTGAGACACTAAATAGATAGAAACCATACTATCTTAGGAAGTTTTCAAATATAAATTATCTGGGAAAGTTTCAAAATTAAGTATTATATCTGCTTGCTTCCACACTTTTGTAGGCATCTGTTTATGGCCACTGGAGGCAGGTGACTGGGTCCAACAAACTTTTCACATATGCTTCCTATCTTCTTCACACTTCCTATTCTTAACATATTCAATTCAGTTAAAAAAATAAATCTCCTTAAATTTCAAGCTTATCCACAAGTATTACAATCAGAAATTAATTTTATTTCTATGTATCTCAGAGCAGGTAGACTTTTTTCAAATTTGTATTTCTAACCCATATAACTAAACAGAAGTCTGTTAAACAGTGATTTAAACATATGTATTTTCAACATTTGCATTAAATAAAACTGATGAAAAGCAATATCAAGATTTATGTTGAGTAATGCTTTGTCAGTGGGTTTATGCTGTGATATTTATCATGAAGAGAAAGTCGCAATGTTCAAAACAGTACTTAGCAAAAAATAATCAACCAGAAAACAGGGAATATAAAGGAAATTTACCTCAGTGTTCAAAACAGTACTTAGCAAAAAATAATCAACCAGAAAACAGGGAATATAAAGGAAATTTACCTCAGTATCTGTTTTTCTCCCTTGCCGGTCAGAGTATCTGTTTTTTTCCTTTCAACAGTTTTAGGTTTAACTGAGATCTGCAATAGCCAAATTTTTACAAAACAAGTTAAATACTAACGCAAATCACAGTTACAGAAGTAAACAGGATTTGCACAGATTTACTTTACTGAAGGCAAGAAATTTTTGTAACTGAGGAACTCCAGTATTGAAGATGATGGCTAGTATAATTTATCATCTTATCATATCTGAGGAGATGTGATTCTGTGACATATGAGGAAGGAGCAATGCCAAGGTTGCCGTCACTGGTTTTGTAATTTATATGAATATAGAGTACCAGTATATATTATTATTATCCATAGCACTGTTTTTGCTGGTACAGTTTACTCCAGGCCTATCCCAACAAAAATTACCCATTGTTGTACAAGCAGCTTTCCAGATGTAGCAATCTATAACCCTGGGCCTTTTTTGCAAAGAAATCCCAGTCGCAAGTCAGATTCCACTATGCTATCAACAGTTTGTAGCAAAAATCTGGCCTGAAAGAATGGCCTTTTTAAAGAACCACTGTAGTTCTTATTTGCTTGCCTCTCAAACTGATTTCTGAACATCCCCAGAGAGTGCCTTTAAGATCTGTGAACTCCAAATCCCAAACCAATGTTTGCCAGATTGAAATCAAAACAAAAAAAAACCCCAAACAATAATACACCAGAAACCATTGGTGCCTCTAGCATGAGTTCTGTGAAATTTTTAATTTATTTTAAAACTATAATTTAAAACTGACTACGTCCTTATGGACCAGACAAGACAATCTTCAAAAGCTCTCAAAAGAAAAATATATTTTGTAAATACAACAAAAAAAGCAGAAAGGCACTCTGTAATAAAAAGGTAATTAAAACTAATGGCTGCTCAGAAGCATCTTTGTCTTCTGCTTCTGCCACAGGCTTCAGGAGGGATCCAAACCAAAGCAGGAAAAACCTAACATACCCAGTATTTTTTAATACCTACCTGTAGAAAACTTCCATGCTATGATTTTTTTCCCTTATTGTCAGCTATAAGAAAATCACCAACATAATGACAGAAAACAAAGCCTAAAAAGAACACTGTATTCATAAGAGAGTGTCACTAGGATACACTGTTGTCACAGGACAGCAGTACCTTGTGGTATATATATATGTATATATATATGTGCAATATATACAAATTGTTAGCCTATGGTAAATCCTTCTAACTCAACAGCAGCCAATATCACTGCGCAGACTCTAGAACATTGATATTTTAGTACCATTGAAAGAGTCTGTACTGAATGTACGGCTACTTCTGCCTCTGTTGTTAAAGTGAACTGTTAAAAGAGAAGGCAGATTTTAACATACCCAGATTTTAAAGTAATATAAAAGTCAAATCAAAGTCATGGCAAAAAAAGACCTGAAGGGAACAGATAAACCACTGATAAAAGATAAACCACTGATCCTTTTGAAATCAACAGTAAACCACAGAATCATAGTGGTTTACTATGATTCAAGTTCCATATCAAGTCGGAAGGCATCCATAAAGATCATCAATTCCACCTTCTTGCTCTTCGCAGGACTACCTAAAATTAGAGTGTCATCCAATTGCTCCTTGAAGTCTGACAGGTTTAGTGCTATGACCAATTCCCTGGGGATCATGATCCAGTGGCTGACCACCCTTTCAATGAAGACCCTTTTCCTAACCTTCAATCTACACTTCCCCTGACACAGCTTGATTCCCTTTCCTCATGTTCTATCACTGGTCACCATGGAGAAGAGATCAGCACCTGCCCCTCCTATGGCCCGTGGAGGAAGGTGTAGTGTGGAGTGAGGTCACTGCTCAGCAATGGGGTCACCCCTCAGCCTTCTCTCATCCCAGCTGAACCAACCAAGTGACCTCAGCTGCTTCTCATAAATCTGCCCTTGAGGCCAGACCACATTGTTCACTCTCCCTGGGACACACTTGCGTAGTTGGATGCCCTTCTTAGACTGAGGTGCTCAAAACTGCACGCAGCAACTGGGATGTGGGGGTGACTGCCCTGCTCAGATCAGCAATATGCAAGGTAGATGTTTAATCTAAACTACTCACTTCTGCTCTGCTTAGAGCTCAGGAGAAGAGACAGAAAAGTCCCTAGGGAAATTAATTTTATCTTGACCTAAAACAGATGTGATACTTTGTACATGATTCTTTCTTCATAGATTACAGAGGATTCCTCTACAACTATTTTAGAATGGTTATTTGATGTTTAGAGAACTAAATATAGGAATATTAATCTGAGGATGACTATTTTGCTCTCATATGAAACTTAAATCATGAGAGTAAATAATTAATTGCTGAAAATATAATGTACTAACTACCTTGAGTGTTGATGGCAAAATCCTAGACCCCAGTGCCTCACTATGCAACATGCCAGTGCATATACCTCACTTCAAATTATGTCCTATGCATATTTAAGTGTTTTTATAGGGAACTGAATATCAGCACTCCTCTTGCTAGCATGTTCAGTAATAAAATCTGCTTTTATTTCCTTTCTTCCTCCAGAAGTTCTCAGTTTCACTGCTAATGTAAAGATATTAACAGTTATCATGAGCATTTCCCAGGCTTTTTCTTGGTTTCATGCTGGAAAGTTCATTTAAGCAATTCTTTTAGATTTCCCAAAGTAGCAATGAACCATGTAAGGGAATCAGTTGCCCACTGTGCAAACACATTCTAATTACAGGCTTTTACCCCAGTTAGTTATGAAAGGGACTTAGTGGCAGCAATTATTGAATATCACACTAAGCTGTTACTTTTACATTATTTAGGAATTTAGAGCTTTTCCAGAATAAGAAGTACTATAAATCTTTACAGATTTCTTTACAGGTTTCTCCAGTTTGTAGTATAAAATTTCATGTATTATATAATTTGCATCAATAAAATTTAACTTGTGATTTCACCAAAACAAGGTGTTTTATACCTGCTTTATAAAGTTAATGGAAATATATGTTGTATTTAATTCTGAGCTGGTTGGATAGTTTATCTTTAAAATAAAAAAGGAGATATAAAAAGGAGGAATTACTACTTAAGGTGTCTGTTACTACTGCTGACAATTTGCTTCTGTTCTGTTCAACTGCATAGCAGTCTTGTGACTAACGGATGGCCAAGCATCTGAAAATTGCTTCAGTTTTCTCAGTTATGGGCACTTTACTGTGCTAGGGAACACTGAAACTCCAATTGATACAAAAGCAAAAAAAGTATTTCAAATAAATAAACTGTATGATCTTTCAATTTACGGCTCTTAAAATTTTTCAAAAGCAGCTTTTGTAAGATATTTGGTATACAAATGAAGTAATAAAACACCCTGATCTAATGGTATTAAAGATACCATTGTTATATCGAAAAAGCATTAAAAGTTACTGAGTCACACATGCTTCTTACCTGTAAGATCTCCGAGAGGTACAAGCACCGTTCGTCATTAATTTTGTGGTAAGCCTACAGTTAAATGAGATATAGGCTATCATTAAGCACAAATTTTCAAATCTGAATCATACAGAAGAGTCAGATATACAGCAGAGCCTTTTTCCAGTGGCACATTTTTTGGAACTATTCTATTGTGTGCTTCACAAACAATCTGTTTGCCACACAACATAACAGCTTTTATAGTCTAGAGGGATAGAGTGATTACAAACCTTTGCTTCTTGTTCCACTCTAAGTTCATAGTCCTTTAGCTGGTTCTGGAGACTTTTGTTCTCTTCTTCTAACTGTTTAAGAAACTTCTTTAAGGAACCCTGTGGTTAAGGTAAATAAAATAGTGTTTTACAACTATTTCCATTCTCTATAAAGGTGTTAGCACTATAGTGCTTATTCTTCAAGCATTATGATGTTTGTCATTCTGTGCATTTTTTGTTTTCATGGTTCTAGCTGGTGCACAGCAAAGGCAAAAGCAATTAACCACATGCTACAGTTACCAGTTATGCATTGCACATTTCCATTGTGTTAAAATGACACAGGTACAGTTTTCCATACTGCTGCTCCTTGGCATCTTAAGCAAGGTCACCTTGTGTTGACCAGTCAGATGTTGCTCCTTTGTTCTAACCAAAATTCCTTATGATGGCTCTTCTTTAGCAGGAAGAAGATTTCACATCTTACCAGCACATCCATTTTCAAACTACTTGCTGAAAGAGCTTCTGAGCTAGTTGAAGAGCCACATGGGACATCAAAGGCAACTTATACCAATTTGGCTAGAAAGCAATACTTTGTGGACAGACTGTCTTAGGTGTGCAGCCATCTATGCTGTCTACAATAGGAATGAGCAACAGCAGCAGAGTCCATTTTTGGTTACTGGCACTGGCCAAATCTTTTCTTGTTGTGTAATGGAATTAAAACACACCCACACTCTTGGAGGACCCAAGCAGGTCCTCCTCTACTACTAACACAGGGAGCTGTTTTTCATAATCTCATTCATAATTTGACCCATTCCATCCCATAGAGACATTATTATTAAATCTCTAACACAGAGTTGCTCTCCAAGTTCAGGAACACTGCATTACAACAAGGATGAATTTAGGCAAACATGCCAGGAGGCCTGTGTGAATGAACAAGTAGGTCCTGAACAAATTCAAACACATGAAGGAAGCCTAGCAATGGTAAGAGAGGGTAGAAATATTGATCGGTAGCCTGGGAGGAATAAAGGGATTGTTTGAACAGCTAGGGATCAGTTTAGGAAAGCTACAGCCCTGACAGAATTAAACAGAGCCAGGGATGCCAAGGACAACAAGAAAAGCTTCTATGGGTACATTAGTGATAATAGGAAGTCTAAGGAGAATGTGCATCCTTTCCAGAGAATGGATTGAGAGCACTCTTTAGAAGGAGGACTTGGGGATGTTGGTAGACGAAAATCTTGGCATGATCTGGCCATGTGGCTTGCAGTCCAGAAAGTCAACAGTTTCCTGGGCTGCATCAGAAGTGTGGTGAAGAGGTCAAGGGAAGCGATTGACCTCCTCTGCTCTGCTCTCCTGAGACCCCACCTGGAGAACTGCACCAACTCTGGGAACAAAAATCATAGGCCTGGAGCAGCTTTCCTCTGAAGACAGGCCAAGACTGCTAGGGTTGCTCAGCCTGGAGAAGAGAAGGCTCTAGGGAGACCTTATAGCATCTTCCAGTACCTGAAGAGGGCCTACAAGAGAACTGGAGAGGGACTTTTTACAAAGGTACATAGTGATAGCACAAAGGGTAATGGCTTTAAACTGCAAGAGAACAGGTTTAGATTAGATATTAGGAAGAAATTTTTTACTGTGAGGGTGGTGAAGCACAGGTACAGGTTGCCCAGAGAAGTTATTTAAGGCCCATCCCTGGAGGTCTTCGGGGTTGGATGGGACTCTGAGCAAGACAATCTAGTGTAAGGTGTCTCTCTCCATGGCAGGAGGTTGGAAATACATGGTCTTTAAGGTCCCTTCCAACCGAAACCATTCCATGATTCTATTACAATTCAAGGTCAGTCAAGTTTGTTCTTGTACTTAAATTACTGTTCTTCTTCCTCCCTGCTGTTTGTCTCCAGCATGTATAGACTGAAGACATGAGCATCTTTTTTCTGCATTCATTTTACTAGGATGATTAAGCTGAACTTGCAGAAATTATCTTTCACGCACCAGGCTGTCTTTTCATTTTACCATCCTAGTAATCCCTTTGTGCAGCAGGATGGAGCTCAACCTTCTTATGGCTAGAGAACAGAACTGGCCTACAGTATGCAGTACTCCAAAAGCCATCTCACTGCCTTGAACAATCAGTGATACTTCTTTACCTATATAAATTTTAGGATTGCATTTTCCTTTTGCACAGCTGCACAATAATGGTTCGCAGTCGACAAGGCATCAGCTAGAATATCCAGATACTCCCCTGCAGTTGTATCAGTTCTCTCATAACATAATTTCTTTACTCTTTTCTAAATCTTTCGGTCTACACTATTAAATTTTACTCACAGTTTTAATAATCTACTCTTCACTGTCTTTCTTTTTCTAAACCACATCCAAGTCCCAATTATATTATATAATTGGTTTCAGGAGAGAGATATCACAATCTAATTCTACTGTGTGTATCAAGGTCATGCATTATATATGAAGGTTCATCTTAAACCTGGTCCTGGAAGACCTCTGCTTGTACTCTCCCAGCAGACTCCTTCACTAATCACTGCTATCATGTTCCATTTGCCAGTTCTTTATTCCTCTAACAAATATATTAATTTTCATTTTCTCCAAATTAATCAGTCACTTCCCATGCGACATGATATCTTTATCAGAGGTCACAGTGAATGAGATACTGTATTTATTGTGACAACAAATGTATTGTTTTATCACAGAATATCAACAGGTTTATGCACCATGAGCCCTTTTAATATATCCATATTTCAATTTCATTTTGCAACAACTATTCCTCTCTTTATCTGTTCACTGAAAAAAGGGCTATACTCCAGTGCACAAAATGTGCACATGTTTATTAGAACCACTTGCTATCATATCAGTGATGTGACAAACCAGTTCTTTCAGAATCCTGAGATATGGATTACCCATTTTCCTCATTTTAAGCACATTCAGCTCTTTGAGTTTTCCTTAGGATTTAGTTATTGTCATTTCTTTTTACACCTGCCTTGCTGACAATAGCTATTTTTTCCTTTCTCTTGCATGTCATTGTTTCTGCCTTTACTTAAAACTTAGGAAATATATACATATTTAGTTTAAAGTGAATGAATTAATGATCACTTAATCTGACAGGTTTTTTGACTGGATTTTCTGCAATGTTCTTGTAGATCTTAAAAATCTAAAATAGTATTGTGTCCCATAGATAATAATTTTATCTATTATTTTCTGATAAAATGTGTTAATTATCCATTGAGTTTTGTGCCTCATCAATATTAGCACTTGACTTTTAGTCTTTATTTACAAGTCTAACACACAATACAATTTCTGTGAATAGTCTGATAATATTATATCCAAATTCATCCATCTAAATATGATATTTATATGCATATTTGACTGGATTCAGTCTGAGGTGAGGGTATCTACATTTGAGAGTCCAAATGTGAGCTGAACTCCTACTAAGAGTCATAGTGAAGATAATCAATAATGTGCAGTGATTCATTCAGCTAAGTAGCTAAAGAGCTCAGCTCAGTTCCATCTGAGTTCTTTTAGAGAGTCCAAGACATTCATATGTGGCAGATATGACACAGGGGTTACATAAGACATCCTTCTGGAGCAGTTACAGGCGACTGTGTACTGAGACATCTTCAAGACTCATTGCTTACACAATTATTCCACTGAAGATGCCAACCAAATAAATCTAGATACAAATGTCTTTACTCAACTGACTATTAATAAGATCTAACTGCCTATAGTAGGAATTAAAAGACCTAAGAGGTAGACAGCTACATATAGAAAAATAAATATTTGTGTCCTAATATTTAAGAAAATCATATTGTTCAATGTACATTTCAATATTATTTCCCAGTACTATTGTGACTAAATTTTGTTTTCCAATCCATCCTCAAGATTGATTCATCCAAACAACTGATGAAGAAAATATCAACAACATTATCGTCAAAGTCTCTCACATCTGCTACATAACACATCTATCTCTGTTTTGTTCTTTCCTGGCAAGTGTGTACCTTTAATACTTGTTATCCCTTCATGGTTCTGCTATCAATACTATTACATTCCTGGTCAGTCAGGTCCTTCCATTTGTTTGCTCAGGTCTCCTGGGCAAAATAACTATCTGTTTTAGTTTTTTTTGGGTTGTTGTTTTTTTTTTTTAATTTATTTTTTTATTTCTAACACAAACAACTCCTTAGTCAAAACAGATGAATCCTTTCCTTTCTATGTTGATTACGTGACCATTCCCTTACTAATCAGTAATTTCTTCTCATGACCTTAATGCTTTGCTTACCAGATTTTCCTGGTAAACAGTGAAGCAAGATAAAAATTCTCCAAATATTTTCCCCTTCTTTTTTCTATGGGAATTTTAAAATTTTTCCATATTTATCATGCTAGTCTCAGATCCAGAAGGCCAGTATCCATATCTGGTTTATTTCTCAGAGAGTTTATTAATGTTTGCTGCTGGTAAAAAAATTACATCTGCCTGTTTTAAGTCTACAGTCTTTTCTGCCATCTGAAGATTAATGCAACTTTTATTCTTTCACATAATTTTCTACATAACATGTTACTTACCTGGCTCCAAATTTTATTTTTAATTTTAAAAAATCTGAGTTTCAGGAATATTTCCATAGGGATAATTTCTGTTAAAATCAAGATTTGTGGGAGTATGGTGAAAGGTACAGTACTTTTAAAACATGCTGCAAGAGAGAATAACCCCTCCCACTGTTCAAAAGGAAAAAAGGAGATAGAGAAGTGCTGTATCTTTGAGGAGTATTTTGCCCCTGATTGAACCATACCAACGGGCATACTGGAGTCATTAAAAGAATTGAGGAGTAGTTGCAGGGTTTTTTTCCTAACTAAAGCAGAAGTACCTTGGATGCAGATAAAATCTTTATCCAAATACAGAAGGCTCCTACAGTCAATTCAGGCAATGTTGGCCAATTCAAGGAGAAAAAAGTAAGCTGCAGATTAAAGAGAAGGTTTGGCTTAATTCCACTAAGGTCATGTGCTGTTTCATTTCAACATCAGTGTCTTTACAGAATTAAACAAGACAGAGAAGACTTCAACACTGTTGAACTAGGAAACAAAATT